AGGTCAAGGAAAACATTGATTTTACAAAATGTATGTATATATGTATTTATAACCTAATTGTAAGACGGTTTTAGTTTAAATAGCAAATATCTAAAATTGAGTTTAAAAGCATTTTCAAATTCTATCGATATACGTTATCTAAAGTGGAAAATGTGTAACTAAAAGAGCCTTTCGAGTTTAGAGTTGAACATAAATTGAAAATGTTGGTCTTTAGCGTAATAATCTAATAACTTCAATTTCTTATATTTTTGATCAGTTTATAAAAACTAGGAAAAATTTTGAGATTTTGAAGAACATTTCATCAATTTGTTGCTATTAGTGATTGCATAAAATTTAAAACTCGTTTGTAGAAGCTAGACGTTCAGATAAAAATTAAATCATCATTCGAGAAGCTAAAAGAATAAGATTCAGATTTTTATATCATTATTTATGTCTATACAATATGAATATAAATGTTCTTATGCATTATATGATCAATGATCAATATCAATGTTAATAACTTTTTTATATTTACTTCAACATTTAAGTGTTTTGTAACATAATTACAGACCTTCTATAATTTTTTTTTAAATATTGCTATTTCATTTTCATGCCGCTTAGCAAAAATCTAAAAATATGACATTTAAAAGAACTTAATTGAGAACGAGCCCAATTTCTAGCGAAAACGCAATGGATAAGCGAGACAAATCGCCCCTCCAATCCAGAGCAATTATAACAGTCGAGTAAATTGAGTTTTCGAATAGATTTAGCATTTCCCATTTGTTAGTTTTCGTCTCCAACGACAAATGCGTTCTTAGAATAATGATTATTTATATGCAAAAGATATATTTTTTTCGATCTAATGACACGGATATCCCGAGAACCGTCTTAATTCCAGCGTAACATTACAGCTCTGTAACGGGGTCGCAGCCCACGTGTGTTCGTTTACTGACAATGTTACATTACGTACTTTAACATAAATTTTTCATACAATTTCATACGCTATTGTTCAAGTGTCTCTTAGACGTTAGATTTATTTTCGAGTGTATGAGCGTCGCAGTTTTCCGAAATCGCTTCTCCCTGAAGGTTGCGCGGTGTTTTCTTTTGCGGTTTTGATTTTCTTGACCTGGTTCTCTTTGTAAATAAACGCAATGGTCGAATTAGCGCCAGCAATCCGTGAAGACGTAATAATGTGAAAAATAAACGACACTCCTATTACTAAGCTTTGTTTTATATATTCGACGGGTGTTGTGCTAAAAAATAGATGTTTTTATTGGCTTTCTCTTATGATTTCACATGAAATGAGGTACTTTTTTTGCCTGAATTTCATATAATTGAACGTCTCTACATAGTTAAAGCGCCTACTTTGGCTAACTAGTAGTATAAGTAAAAACTATTTTACACCTCCAGGTAAATTTCTAAGAAATTAATTAAATTTCTAAGAAATCTATTGTTAACTGGAACGCCGGCGTGTCCGCGTTCGTGGAGGGATTAAAACATACACTAAAAGAAATTAAATACACAGTTATTATCTAACTTGGTCTAGTCTAATAATAAAAAATGTATAATGAATTATTATTCAAAAATCTATAAAATGTTCCAAAGTGGTCCAATCTCCATATTAATGAGTGAAGAGTCTTGTCAAGGCGCTTGTCTTCTTTTATCATAAAAGGAATTAATGGGTTTCATTATTAGCATAGCAAGGGTCTTTCTCGAAAACGACGAAGTTTAGAAATCTCGCAGAAATCATTTTTTCATTAGTGTATGTGTAATTTCATTCATGTGTGTTTTCATTCATCTGACACTGTTAAAAATATAAATATAATAAGGCATACATATATAAGTATCCTCTAGAAATAACTCTAATAGGTACTAGTTATTGAAAATGTGTTTGTTTTTGTTAAATTCAATGGAATTTTCTGAAGAATTTAATTAAATGTTTCAGCAAATCAATAAGGAAAATGAGTTTTTTGATGCAACTTTCAATTCAATGATTTCCTTTGAAGTAATTTACGCTCTGATTGTTTTAAATTTAAAACATTGTAGTTGTAATGTTTTTAATTCTCTTATAAGAAACTTCAACGTCTCTTTGTTTATTTTATCTCACGTGCAAGCATTTTAATTTCGACGTCTTCTAATTGAAGTCGAGTAGCTAAGTTGATTTTAATGTGCAGTTAGGCATATATTTTAGTGGTCCGCTAACCCGCACTTGGCCAACGTGGTGGACTATGGCCTGATCCCCCTCGTATTGAAGGAACGTTAAAAAGGGCTGAACACACACACACACTTACACACACACACACACACATACACACACCCACACATATTTTTGTGGAAAATTCAAAACGCATGATGGCTCTTAAAATAATTTATAACGTTCTTAATAGTTTAACGAGAGTTACGAGATCTCAGAATTTTATATTTCATTAATGATGGGATATACTTTTTCTTAATACTCGTTAAGGTAAGATTTATAAACTATTACATAATTCAAATGATTCAGTTGTAACAAAATTCAGTTAAACGATGCGAACTCTTAGTGCCTCACTGTCATACTACTTTAGATTCCATACCAATTAAATAATTTCGTCCAAAACCGAGCGCGAAATAGGATAATTAAAAACCCATATAATTAAGATAACCGCAATTAAAGTTGACAGCTTCATAATTGCACTACCCCTTTTGTTGTGACGTAAACAAATATCTACGGATTTACAGCATAATGAAGTCATTTCTATGCAAACTGGCTTTTATATTTAGAAATAAACCCTCCTCTAGTAATTAAGTCTATTTTATTGACATATTGCAACCAATTTCTTATACGATATTACTTTATGAGATCATTATAGATAAAAAATTGCTAATTGGGCCTTCGTTACTAATGAGTCGAGGTTTTGCCTCTTTAAATTATTGCACATAGCTTCACGATCAACTTTTTTTAGCGCTGATATAATTGTTCTGTCAAAACTGGCGTCCGCAAGTTCTCCGAAGCGAGACATCAATCGTCATCTCAGCTTTTATCTTGCCAAGATTGACATACACGCTTCCTGGTACCTCAATTCACAAAAAAACGATTACTTATATGTTAGCAATATTATTGTTCTCATTTTCCTTGTTACATAACACATTGATAAAAAACATTGTTTCAAGAATTGTTAAATTAGAATTTATTTCAAGAAAAAATGTGTGTAGTTTTCACATTATTAAATACAACGCCTGTACATAAAGCTTGTTATGAAAAAGCGATAGGAAAGTGAACATGTTTTTTTTTTCTTCAAAATGCATCAACTTCAACATCACTTAAAAGCATTTGTTTTACCCATAAGAGTTTTTTCAATGAGTTTATATAGTCTCCCTTGAAATATAACCAAGTCTATGCACAAGAAGCGTATTTGTTGAGTAACTAGAGACCAAGGACGAAGTATTCCTCCTTTTTCAAATCGGTCAAATGTTGGAATTAATTTATTATTATTAATTTCCCTATGCAATAGCTTTTTGTTTCCTCTGCTGGACAAAAAATATATTTCCTGTTTATATATTCCAGCCATCATTGAAGTTATATGTATATAAGTAATAATCGGACATTAACTTTTTGCCTTATTGAGTAGTTATTACGAAAATAGTCAAGCTGGACCTTTCATTGGACATCATCAATTAATTTATAGTATTACGTACTTGGAAGTGATAACTTCACTATCGCATTTCCACGTTTAATTATCGCCAAACGATTTATTTATCACGATTTATTTATCTTAGTTGCATCAAACATTAATCATCACCTAATATCAAAATCTTGTATTGTCTACCAATCATACTTGGGTCTTCGCCAACTTCGGCGTTTCCCAGAAAATGAGAATTGGGAACGTATATATGTTACTGTCGCTAACAATTTTCTAAGGAACCTGCACTGTTCCTGGGTTCCAATAATTATATGTCACAGTTCATTGACTCTACTTCCAATTTTGGCTTTTTTCTTGCTTCGATAAGCTTCTAGTTGAGTTCCGTTCTACCTCATTTCAGATTCTGGGAACACGTGCCCTAGAATACTTAATTCTTTGCCAATGCTTTAATTCGTTTCAAATATATTTAAATTATATAAAGAATATTTATTCTTAAGAACAAAGGGAGATTATTAGCAGAAAAAACTTTTTAGAAGAAAAACACAAAATTTAGGTAAATGGCGCATCCATCCGCATGCAAAATGTCTTAAAAACCTGGTCATTTTCATGCAAATGGGAAAAGTCATCAATAACACACTGAGAAGACGAAATTGCTATCATTAATAAAAGAGAACTTTTATAAAGCCATTGAACTTTATGAATGAAATGAATTAGTAGTTTATATCAAATATATTGGTCTAGCACTTACATACTTGAATTTTTGTGTACACTCAAAATATACTCGTAGTAAGTTTTGTTTATCTCAAATTCTTGGCATTGAAATAGTTGATGGCGTTTTGTCTTTAAGTATTCGAATTATGTGGACGGAAAATTGATGAATGATCAGATTTTATTAAATAGATCTTTTGTTTACCTTCCTAAGTATACGAAACTATTAAGGTTCAAGGTTGTTTAACTGAAGGTTTATTGTTTTACGTGAACAATTTTCTGACCTTCATAAATTATTTCAGCATAAAAAAAACTGGATATTGGTGCAGCATTTTTTGCCCTTGTAAGTTTTCACTTTTCGCATTTCGAAAACTACTGTCTTTTGAAAAGTGACTAAGGTATTTTTAGTGATAATTACATCTAATTTAATATTCCAACACTATTATAGTTTGGTATGTCATTAAACCTGTTTCCTGTTCTACGTATACAATAAATATTTTTGAATTTCGTAATCCCTCAGTTGCCTCTGCCTCATTACACTGAGTTACATAAAAAATGAAGTAATACCGATGCCTCATAACTTCTTGAATCGCAATCATAAATTACGCTGAGTATGGCACTAGTGTTACCTTTTTGAGATTAATCAACAATAGTCCATAACAAGTACTTCGTGCTCCGTGCGTCAACGTGCGCATGCGCATGTTTGTTGATATGCCATATGATCGGAAACTGATGTTTGGTCAGTTCCTAGACATAGTAATTCGTTGTCCATTGTTACTAATGAACTAATTGACCGAATAGATCCAAGAATTTGAAGGCTAAACTATATTTACTGTATGTACTTTACGTTATTTCGCATTTAAATGATATTTGTACTTTTATTATTAGTAATTACTATTTGTGAGTATCGATGTTTGTTGTTGACAAACGTTGACTTATTAAATATTTTAACTAAGCATTTCAATAAATTTGTGTTTGCATATATGCTTAGAATATATTAATTCATGATAAAAATTAGTTAAGATCTTGTTATAGTTTTTATACTCCATGGTACCGACGAAAACGAAATATTTTAACCATTTCAACAGAGTTAGCGATTATTAACGAACGTGCATTCTCTAGCTCGGTGTAAATATCAATATTTGAAATTTGCAACAAACCGAAATTGATGGAAAAACAAAACGTTCTAATTTGAGAAGCCATAACATAAATATTATGGAAGAAAACAGCCAACCAAATTTTTATCATGATCAATAAAAACTTTTTAACAAAAAAATAAAAACCGACTTTAAACAAAAGCACTAAAAAGTAAAAAATAACTGATTGGTAGTTTTCATTTACTATACATACCTAATCAAATATTTTTGAAGTCGGTGTGCTTTGCTTTGTATGGGCTGGCACGGACTTCGAAAATATTTGATTAGGTATGTAGGTATGTAATAGGTAAGCTTTAATTATTTAGCCAAAGCACACCGACTTCGAAAATATTTGATTAGGTATGTATAGTAAATGAAAACTACCAATCAGTTATTTTTTACTTTTTAGTGCTTTTGTTTGAAGTCGGTTTTTATTTTTGTGTTAAAATGTTTTTATTTTTCCCTTTTTAGTGTAAACAGTAGTAACAAAGTAAGAATTCTAAAGTGTTAGGCTTGTCAAATCAAACAAAATAAGCCCAAACTCAAAGTATATCTACTATTAGTCGTTGAAGAGTTCCACCTATCCACCTTCTGACCTTACCATCAGATCAGGTCAACAATACCGAACCACTGTACTATCAACGGAAATAGAAACACTTGCAAAGTTTCAAGTCAATATGACAATTAGAAGTAGGTTAAATTCATTATTAGCTATTTTTCCACCCTTAGGGGTGGTATTTTTTTTTTGAAATTTAAATAGGACCAATCTGGAAGTATACTCTTTCAAACAAAACAAAAATTGTCCAAATCGGTTAATAAATGACGAAGTTCTGAGGTAACAAACATAAAAAAAATACAGTCGAATTGAGAACCTCCTTCTTTTTGAAGTCGGTTGAAAAGTAAACACAGTGCACGTTTAAGCAGATTTTTTTATCAGGAATAGGTTATTTTTTGTCTAACGGGTTGTATAGCGTGGTATTTAAAGTGTTTTAAAGTTGATTATGACGCTTTTCCGTATTTTATTTCTTACTATCAAAACTCTCACGCAATAGTACCTGAAGTAATGTAAGGTTGATGTACAACAACTAGAATTTATGCTTTGTTACTTTATCATTGCTAATTTACTGACTCATATCTCACCTGATACTTGGTCCATTAGGGCTGTGGCTGAATTTGATGGGATACTTAATCTTAGTTATTGTTCAGCCGCTAGCGAATATCATAGACATGCTAGCGATTATTATTGTATATGATGAATGCTAGTACTAACTGTGGCATGATTTATGGAAAGTTGAAAACGTGTGTACAAGAGTTAAATAAATCTTACGTGTTCTCTTTTCGTTTTGTAAACAAAAAAATTACACCACAGAAAATAACTTTTCCATGTAACTTGAAATTAACATATTTTTACGTACATTTTTTTATTGAAAAAATTGACCTTTATATTTTTGATTTTTCAGGTGATAGATTTTGGCAGCTCGTGTTACGATCATCAGCGCGTGTACACGTACATACAGTCGAGGTTCTACCGCGCGCCCGAGGTTATGATGGGGGCGAAGTACGGCATGCCAATTGATATGTGGTCGCTCGGGTGTATATTGGCGGAACTACTTACAGGTAAAAGTCTCACTATGTCTTTTATTAAATTTATATGTACTGCCAGCATTGCCCGCGGCTCCGCCCCACGTTCAGATGACCAAAAACCAAATTGTAAGGTTTTACATATTAGTATACTCTTATATGCCAGTTTTTGTATTTTTTCTCAGAAATGAGATATTTTCCCGCAGTAAAAAGTAACCTATATGTTGACCCGGATAACCAGCTACCATCATACCATATTTCATCAAAATCCCTCCAGTGCTTTTTCCGTAACAGACAGGCAAAAATTCTAAAAACTATAGATTCGGCCTCTGTACCGATAATAATATCTATTTCAATAAGATTTTCCAAAAAATATTTAATGTACAGATTCAACTTACCTAGTTAGAATTTTATTATATGTATAGATTTTAAATTTCCTCGTACAGGTGTGTATAGAGTGGTATGCGGCGCAACTTTGTCAATTTGGGAACAGCTTTCAAATACGCTTTTTTTTAAGTTAAAAATGTCTGTAAAGTTAAAATTGTGATATAATAAGACCTCATAAGATTTTCATTTAGTTGTCAATGAACACATAATTTTTAAATTACGTAGGAATACTCGTATATGTAAAATGTAACTTTTCTGTATTTTTAAATTAAATTCGTGTATGTGTACATTTTTCAGGTTTCCCATTATTACCCGGCGAAGATGAGGCGGACCAAATGGCGTGCATCATAGAATTATTGGGAATGCCGCCCCAGAGGCTCATAGAACAGGGAAAGCGGTCGAAAAATTTTATAAGTAGTAAAGGATTACCGCGATACTGCACGGCTACCACGCTACCTGACGGTACCACAGTGCTAAGTGGTGGTAAGTTGAACACTAATATATTTTTACGTCACCACTTAATACTTACCAGGACCTCTATGCGTTCGTGCTTACATGATAGGTACGTCGATTAAAAGTTAGTTCCAAAAGTCCTTTAAACTTACCCTTAACAAATACTCTCACTCACGAAGTTAATCAATTACTCAGTCGTATTTATAATATTTGTGTGATAACTTTTTCAAACTACTTTTATTTTTAATTACTCCAGGCTAGATTTAATGCTTTTATGGCAACAGATGGCGTTAATGAACTATCATAATGTTAATCGTAGATGCGTCTAGACTATAATATCCGAATAATTGGCTATAAAACCATTTGGCTTGTTTCCCTATAAACACTTTTATTGCAATAGATTAAAACGTGAACAATCGATATTAGATAGATAGAATAAGGCATAATAACCAATCGCGGTTAAGATTGCAGATATAACTCTGATCTCACTCTTCATTTTAACTAATAAATCTTAGTATGAATCAGGAATATAACGTATCATCCTACAGTAAAAAAAATAACACCTCATTCGCTAACATCATACCTATTTATATTTCAACTGTCACAGTGAAAATTCTTTAGATAATCGGCTTTTCACAAACGCGCAGCATGTAGATCATCTGAGTCAGAAATACCAATCCCACTAAACGCACACTTAAAAATATTTCTTTAAATGTCACATTGCTTTCAATTATTCTATCATTGTAAATGAAGAGTGTCATTTACTTTCTCTCCAACCGCTGACTCATCCATCTAACAGCAGAGTATATCAATTAGACTGTCGACGCAAGCGTGACCTAACTCCCATTTTGAAATAATTTGAAAACTGTTAAAGTTTTACAGCTCTATAAATTATTATTTTTCATATTTTTCATCTAATCGGAGAGTTATAATTGCGAAAGTTTGTATATGTGTGTGTGGGTATATGTGTGTCTATATGTATTACTCTTGCCTCTAAAACGGCTGGACGGATTTAGTGCAAAGATATGACCTATATAAACATATATGCTAGTAATTACAAATTTACATATACTATATTAATACAAATATGTAAACTGAAAGCCTCATAATTGAGAGTGGTGTTTTACGTTTTCTAGAAAATTGCTCTCGCCGTTACTACATTTTCTTCCCCTGTCTAATGCAGACTGCCATCGTAGAGAACGATTATCCAATGTAATGTTAGGAAGGGGATATGAATTATGATTTGCAATTTGCTAAACATTATGTAAACAGGAAATCGGTTTCGAGAATTGATTGAATTGGTAGTGAAGTGAACATGGTTTGTTTAAGAATATCAAGTGGAATTTATACCCTATGTTTCGGACCTTTAGTGGTTTAGGGTTCTGTACATGTTATGTAAAAGCGAACGCTTATATTGTCACTTTTGTGTGTGTAGGACTATCATGGTCAATTTTTTGCCAATATACTATTACTAATTCTTTTTACTAGTAATTGTCAAGCTTAAAACGTATGTGTTTAGTGTGGAAGATATGTAATAATGTACAATTGGCATCATTACGTAGACTGATGACGACTATGAAAGTGATGTGCACAGACGTAATGTGGGCGGGGTTGGAAAACACCTTGTAATTGAAAGTTGGACCTACTCCAATAATGCGTAATTTTTTAAATGTTTTTTTTTGACATGAAACTTATTTTTTATACTTTTTTGTTCAGTTAATTAGATCGTTAGTTCGGCTCGAGCTATTTAGGTTGAATATCCTAATGACATTACCTTCGACTCTACATATATCGAGTGTCTCGTAATTTTGTATATTCTTAATTGAACTGAAAAGTAATACACTAATTAAAAATGTACATTTATACGCTACCCTAAATGCGATATACTCGTAACTACCTACATAAGATTGCATTTCAAACAGACCCATTTATTTGGTAGAGCGCCAAAGCCATGCGTAATGTTTTTTATAATCCAATAAGTAAAACATTCGGTGTTTGGTTTCTTCGAGGGTCCTAATTCATTTAAATTCATGGTATCTGATTTCCTTCAGCAGCTAAATGCTTCATTTGTGTAATTTTAATTTACATTTCCAGGCAAATATTTTTGGTAATTAGGTCATATCAATTTTTTTTGTAACGAGTTCGTTATTGACTAATGATACATATGTATATACATACATATTAGCAATGAAAAGAGAGTTTTTTTTCGTTATGCAGCTAGTAGCGAGGATGATTCCCTAGACTCACCCTCGTCTTACGTTTTAACGTTTATTTTAGATTTCACAGAGACGAGACGTTTTCGCGCAGTGAAAAGTATCCTATATATTGACGGATAACAAGCTATCACCAAATTTCATCAAAATCTGTCCAGTGGTTTTCTCGTGATGCGTTTTCCAGACAGACAGACAAAAATTCTAAAAGCTATAGATTCGGCCTGTGTATTGATAATAGTTATTATTTCAATAACATTTTCCAAAAAATATTTAATGTACAGATTCGAGTCAGAAGTTTATTATATGTAATGTATCTATAGATTTGTTTGCCTGTCAATGAAATTTATTAGCTAATACAGACTTCATAGGAAAAACAATACATAAAATTTTTAACATTTTTACAAATAAAGTACTAATATTTAGATAGCTTCGGTTTATATTATTCAATTGCATTTTCAGGAATGTCAAGGAGAGGCAAGCCGCGCGGTCTTCCCGGCTCTAAAACTTTCGTGACGGCGCTCAAAGGTTGCCAGGACAAATACTTTATCGACTTTATTAGACGGTATGTTGGACATTTTCTTTTTGTAATGCAAGTATACGTTACGAAAAAGGAATTTTTATCTCTTTGTAAATGGAGTCGGTGTGGAGTAAGCTCTGAACTGTGATTTGATTTATTTACATAATCATTTAACCTAATTTTATATAGGTATAATGTATAAATGCAGGTACTTGTAGATATATGTAAATACAGCTTTTACTATAATGGTTGTAAAACGTGTCTGTTTGTATGGTGACTCAAGGCACAGATAATAAACATTTATTATCTGTAATAATAATAGTTAAGTGTTAAGTAAAGAAATACTTTAATATATTTTTCTTTTCTACTCTATTAACAAAATACCTTAAAATGAAGTTTTCGAATGTTTCTAATGTTCAATTGACACCGTCGTTATCCACCATCTTAGAAACAAAACATCCGATTTGAATAATTTTCTCTGTATTAAACCGTATGACTGCAAGCTAATTAAAATAAAAGATAGTAGTGGAAAGTATATTAAGTGAGTTTATGAATGCGTGGATGAATAAGTAAATGCGTCAGTGGGAGTATTTGAAGATTGTTGAAGGTTTCATGAATTTGACTGTAATTTGGAATAGAAATATCTTTTGTCCCACATTAACGCTTAGAATTATTTTGTCGAGACTTCTACACGAGCTGAGTTCATGATTAAAATTAGTTAATAAATATAATATTTAAATAATAAATATGTTGGGACATTAACACACAGCACCATCTACTTCCATGGTAAGCTACGAGGTTTGTGTTATGGATACCTTGTAGTTGATCACTACACATATGTAACTTTAAATACAATTATACATACATATTATAAAGAAACCCATGACTGGAATACAAACATTCGTCTAAGTTAATGAATATAATATTTAAATAATAAATATGTTGGGACATTAACACACAGCACCATCTACTTCCATGGTAAGCTACGAGGTTTGTGTTATGGATACCTTGTAGTTGATCACTACACATATGTAACTTTAAATACAATTATACATACATATTATAAAGAAACCCATGACTGGAATACAAACATTCGTAAATGAATGTCCCTAGCGAGACTCGAGCCCGCGACCGCTTGCACAGCAAGTAGGGTCACTACAAACTGAGCAATACGTGTCGTCAACCGTAGTCTCTTATAATTTTGTTTAATATTATTACAGATGCCTAGAATGGGAGCCAGAGAAGCGCCTAACGCCCGCCCAGGCACTCCGCCACGCGTGGCTGCGCCGCCGGCTGCCGCGCCCCCCGCACGACGAGGACCCTTCCCCCGCGCCCCACCCCCACCCGCACCCCGCACCCGCCAACGTTAGTATCGCGCACCACGTCAAGCGCCTCGCGCAGACCAAGTGTACAGATAAATAGGTTCGTTTTGTGTTCGCTTTTTGATTTTTTTTTATTGTGTGATGCTTGTGGTTCTAGGTATTTGGGTCAGGTGTGTGATGACTGGCTGTATAAGTAATGGTCGTTGCTTTTTTCAATATGTTAGATTTTGGTTTAATTTATTACTATAGCAAAAATAATGACAGGTTATGGGTTTGTAATGATAAGTTTTGGGGTACTTTGAAATATTTTTTCAATAAAATTTGTTTTATATTTAAAAATAAAGCTTTGAAGTCATTATTCTAAAAGCTTTAAAATTATTATGCTATTGGTTCTATTATTGCTTAATTTATATTTATAGATTAGAAATATTGCGTCTAGTAAGTATGGGGAGCTCATAGCTGCATAGATAACCCAAATCAAATTACTTGGCTGGCTTATAAAACATTTATTTATGTGAAATTTATGCATAAAATGCCTATAATTATCGAAATTTTGTAGTTAATTTAGACATGAATGCTTTAATATAAATAATGCTATTTCGCTATATAATTTACATTTGGTAAAACCACAAGCGTCGCATATTATTTCTATATAATATTATTTATATATATTTTATTATAAGTTTTAATATTTTAATTTTTATTATTCAGTTGCGAATTATATGATTTGACTTTTTTTTGTTCTTATACTACTCGTTAGTATAAGAATTTTTGTTTTCGAACAACTTCGGAAGTACAACTCGGTATTTATGTACATAAAGAAATATGTGTTTTTACAGTAAGAAATTATACTTTATACTCAGACTAAGGAATAATATAGAGAGTGTCATAGAACTAATACATGAAGTCAAGCAATAATGTTTTAAAATAGTATACAATTATTAATAAAATAATCATTACTGTGATATGTAAATAATTGTTAATAAATAAAAATAGCAAAGAGGTTTTATTATAATAAAGAAAAAATGTAAATAAGCTATTATTATACTATATCTATTTCAAAAAGAAGACAACGAATGCTTAAAAATGCAACAGAATTCATATTTTCTTCTCAAAAATTGTAAATTAATGGCTAATACCTATGTATTTATGTACAATAATAAATAATTTAACTTGAATAAATCTATTCACGTCAAACGTGCCGGTGCGGTTTTGTTTAACGTTAAATAATTTAACTTATGGCAAAATTCAAGAATAGTAGCGTAAACAGCAAATTACGCTACTATTTTGGACTTTGACATTTTTTTGGTGGGCTCCTTGTATATAATTCTTTAGTCTGATACTTTATATTATTCACTATATAGTTTAAGTTTCTTATAATTGATCATGAAATAGATGGCATAGAGTAGTTATTCTAGTAAATATATATTTTGTTTTTTATACATAAGTACACAATTTTCGTACATAATATGTCTATTACTTGTCATTACTTTTATAGCTGTATTTTAAGCAGTTAGGCTTTTACTTTAGTTAAAGTAGTAATAGTAATAATAGTAATGTTTCATTAACACAGAAGTTTAAACACAATGGCCAGCACTGAGCACACACTGTCAGAACAATTCCATTATACTCTCATCCACAGGAGTCATATGACTCACTTTACACGCAAACTTCTCTTTCTTTACCTTTTCTTCTCGATCTTTACTTTTTTCTTTACCTCAAACAACTCGACATTCATCCTCTCCTTTACATTCAATTACAGATAGCTGTCATTCTTAATACATGTCGCATTGCTAGATTTTTTTTTGTATACAATAGTTAACAATTTCTCTAGTGTTTGACTAAAAGTCCTATGAATCTGAACCCCAGAAATGGGAGATATGTATAATATGCATATATATAAATAACAATAATATACTTTTTTGCACACCAAAAGAAAGGAACATAAAAACAAAAACACAATTAAAAAAATATTATGTTATTAAAAGAGAAAATAAAGGTGCCTACATAAAATTTGCATGACTAATAAAGTACTTCATCCTTCATTATTAAAAGTAGTTATATATCGCTTTTTGTTTATCGTTCCGGTAAAAAGCGATATATAAACACACAGTACCATCTAGTTCCATGGTAACCCACGAACCTTGTGTTATGGATACAAAATAGTTGATACGCTACACATATATAACTTTAAATACATACATATTATAAATATATTGTCCCCAGCGGGACTCGAACCCGCCACGAAGTAGGGTCACTACAAACTGAGCCAAAAGTGTCGTCGAATATTTATGTGGACAGAATAAACTTTGCATATTTATAAAATAACAGGTGATTTTATAAAATTTGGGATGAAGGGTTTTTTCTTTTAAATTCCTGTGCCCTTTATTCATGTGTTAATATTAGCGATTAATATCAGATAATCATATTAACGATTCGTACATAGATTTTTATTAATTTTAAATGGTTTTGGAGATTTAACGTTAGAAATTCTTCTATGCATTGTCAGTAGTACAGATTATTTCTTAGCGTGTTAGAACTTTTAGTTGAACTATATATTTAGTGACAAATTAACTTGTTAATATTATTTAAAATAAAAATAAAAAACTACAAAAATTTACAATGGCAACCTTTCTGTGCCAAAAACTAGTTTGAATAGCAATATGAAATCCAATATTGGTATTTCTAGTTTGGTACAATTTTGTATTTTGTCCAAAAGCAACAAAATAGGAAGTACTTATACATATGTTATTTGATTATAAAATATAAACATTATATTGTGCTATTGGCTCGGTAGATTTCAACCATTTTATTTTGCTATGTAGTAAAAAAAATAATACGATTTTTGTTACTGCTGACTAATAAGAAGACAAGTAAGTTGCCTAATTTAATAATAAACCTGATCAAAAAAAATGACCGATTAATCTACCAATATGATTTAAAATTCGTTGGCAGCATAAATAAATAAATAAATAAAATTCGCTCTTTCAAAATCAGGGCTATAATATATTTTGTATGATCAATAAAAATTCACCCTAGTGATTGCTAAAATGTTTTGAACTGATAAGGCTGTATAAACCATAATCGCGTGATGACTGACAAACAAAATTGTAATGCAATATTTTTTCGTCCTGTTTGAGTCTGTCCGTCAAGGGCGAAGCTACTCGTGAAGTTTCAATATGTTATTAATCATTTAGAAAAACCCGTAGTGTACTACAGTTCACAGTCTATAGACTAGTAATATTTGTAGTGTTTGATGAAATAAATACAATTTTTCAATTGTTGTATGCAACATCATTCCACAAACGCGTGAAAATGTCTGTGTTCAAGCAGCTTTTTCTATTTTAAATATTTAAAAGGAAATATTCAAATGATATCCATACCTACCAGTGGCAAAGGGTAAAATTATAGCAGAGGTAAGCCGTTCCAATAATATACAATTTTTATATACGTATTAATGCAGAAAGAAATAAAGCTATTATTAGGAAATTTATACATTTAAAAAATTAAATGTATGTAAAATTATAGCAAAGTAATTTTAAGACGTCTTGTATGGACCCTTTGCCACTGAATTACCTATTTAATTTTCTTAAGTTTTTATAATAATGTAAACAAAAATTTAAAAATAAAAATGTATATGCGTATAGTATATTTGCCCTCTACCTATATAACAACTTTTGCTCAAAATGCTGCCGATTACTATAGAACGATAGAGAGAAGTATAAATTGAGTTAAATAGATAAGCAATATAATAACAGTATACTAATCCATATAGTCGTATGTGGTCTACACAGGGCAATTGTACGGGGGGAGATGTGTCATACGTTGCGTCATATCATATGTTCCCTTATATGACAGTCGGAAAAGGGGTTTAGGTTAGACGGGTGTATCTTTAACCAGGTACGAGATGAAAATTGGTTTGCCATAAATTTTGACAGCATTAACGGAAATGAATGGGCGATCGCCTACTGTATGGATTTTTTTTAATGTCATAAAATTGCTTAAGATGTTTGTTGTTAAGTTTCTCTCTCAAACTTATCAGCAAATATTTGTATAACAGATAACTTATGAAATCTTCTGGATATCTTCTTATCGTATCTTTTGAAAATGTCAAATGTTCGTCTACATTTTGTTATAAGACTGTAGGGCAGAGAGAGTGAGAGAGAGAAATATAAAAGGAGTAAGAGAGATAAAGGGGCAATACAATAATGTCTGTTGCAGTCCAGCGGCGGGTCCGGGTGCGGCGCGGGCGGGCGCGGCGGCTCGCTGCGCACTCCACTCGCGCGCACTCCGGTCACATTCAACGCATCGCAAGTCGCTAGTGAGTATATATATATATATATATATATATTCATTAGTATTATTATACTTTTTAGTATTTTATTTTTTTAATGCCCCGGTAGTCTAATGGCCAGCATGTTCCGGAGGTCGAGTATTCGAGCCCGGAGTTGGACTTATTGAGTCTTTCCGGGAATTGTTCAGATCTATGCCACGGCATGCGCTATGATCGCTTTACTATACCGTACTTCGCACATGGCCAATAGATAATATTATATATATTGCGCAGTTGTCTAGTCTTAGTTAGATCAAACGAAATCGGTTAGGAGGACTTTTTTTACTATACTAGCGACTCACCCTCGCTTCGCTCGGGTTCGTCCCTAGGTAGGTTTTAATTTTTTTTTCTAAAATAAAACTATAAAGTAAGCCTATGTTACTCCCTATAACATCAGCTATCTTCCAGTGAAAGTCCCGTCAAAATCAGTCCAGCCGTTTCAGAAATTATCCGGAACAAACACAGTCTGTCTGTGAAAAATTAAAAAAATGTGTTTTCTTTAAGTACCGTATATAATTTCATATGCATTTAGTAAAACGCTGTTATTTTGACATTACAAACAAACACTTCAATTTTATTTATCTGTGAAGATTAGACTGAATGTGATTTTCTTTACACATTATTTTTTTCATTTCAGAAGCGAAACTTCAAGCCGCACTTTCTGAGGAGAGCGGTGGTATGAGCGGGTCAGCGGGGGGTGTCGGGGGAGTGGGGGGTGTTGGGGGCGCGGGGGGCCGGTACTGGGCGGGGGGCAAGCTGCCGCACCTCCCGGCGCCTTCCTAGCGCCCGCCATCCGCGCGCCGCCTTGCCAAGGTACTTCATCACTGCATAGTATAAAACAAAGTCGCTTTCCGCTGTCTGTCTGTCCCTATGTATGCTCAAATCTTTAAATCTACGCAACGGATTTTGATGCGGTTTTTTAATAGATAGAGTGATTCAAGAGGAAAGTTTATATGTATAATACATGCATATTATAGTAAAGAATAACCGAGAAATTCAAAGGTTTCTATTTTATACTAAACGTTAAAACTTACCTAGGGACGAACCCGAGCGAAGTGCCTAAGTGCCTGTCTGTGTGTCTACTATATTTCATCCAAATCCCTCTAGCCGTTTCAGCGTGAAAAAATAACAAATATACAAACTTTTTTAATTTAATATCTATTTCACAAGTAACAAATATTCATATTCGTGTGCATTATACAATATATACTTATATCTATCTGTTTGTCCGTCCAGGTGTCATCTCTGGAAGCACCGCGTCGCGCGGGCGTGGTCGGCGCGCGGCTCGAGCTGGAGCGTCGCAGCCTCGACCTCGAGCGCGAGCTGCGCGCCGACCGCGACTCCGACGCCTCGCTCGACGACCGCGACCACCTCGTCTGACGCCCCCGACACCCCCCGCACCCCCGACACCCCCCACATCCCCCACACCCCCCGGCACAGGGACGCCCCCCACCGCGCCTTGCAAGATATCGTGCGTGACTTCAACGCGCGATGCGCCGTCATAGCAAACATCTCTTCGGATATCATCACTACCAACATACAAGCCTTTCAAGCCAATGACCATAGGAAAGTGAATACGATTGAGTGCACACACGAGTGTAGCAATCGTAGGGACAGCCTCGAAAATGAACCTAGTTGTAGTTGGGCTAATGTGAGCAGCAAAGATGGTGGACGACATCATACACGTCGAGTACAATATGAAAATATTCTCAAATGCTCCGAAATGCACGATCTAAGCTGGAACCGAGCTAACTTATTGGCTTATCAAAGAAATATCGCAAATAATCAAGCTATGGCCAGTTCGACCAGTGTGAATGCGATTAGTGTCGTCCACACTCCGCGTACAGATAGCAGAAAAAGTTATATGAGCGATATTGGTAATGTATCGCATTGTAAGTTTGAAGGGAATCTGTACAAACGAAATGAGCCGCATGGTTCTAGCTGGAGTCTTTCTAATATAAACGTGAGAAACGTTCCCATCCACAACGAAGCCAACTACCCACACTACGAAAATATTAGAAGAAAATCAGAAGACAACATCAGAAAATACAATCCCTATTCCGGCCCAAGTACTTCTAAAGTACCTTTCAATGTGCATTTAGATGCTATCTGTACTCAGCCACGTGAAAGTAATCATATGTCAATGCGATATAATGATGTGAAAAATAATGGTCAGGCGAAAAATAGTGTTGTACATTGGACTAACTCTGTTGAGAATAGAGTGTGTTGTCCGGAAACGGTTTTATACGGCGCGGTGTATGGACTTAAGTGCTTAAAATAGACATTTTAACTTTAAAATGGAGATTTTGTGTGGCGGTGATCTAATAGTGCGGTCTTAGCGGCGTTAGACTATATAGTGTAGTGCGGTACTTCCCCACCGTTGCCTCAAACGTTAGTTGGGTTTCGATTGCTTAAAACTACCCTACACTGCCTAGCACTTGTAACTTCGAAGATATTAGATATAAATTACGCTTACGATCGAGTGTTGCATTTAAATTTTTGTATTAAATGTCGATTAGAGTACTCGGTATACAATAAATAAGCTTTGTACATCGAATGTCTATTGCCATTAGGTAAATTCTCTACAATCGACACAGAGCACACTCGACCAATCTGTGTCCTTTGAACAGAATGCTGTTTACGTTAACTACTCATGTTCCTAAGTACTCGATGATAGTTGCGTTTGAGGCAACCGCGGGCTTCGCTTGGCGGCGAGCGTTTGAATGTAAGCGGCAAAATTGATCTCAGTAAATAAATAAAGACTACATATAACGTATGTTATACGGACATCTAGTGGAATTGTGCGAGTACTACCGTGTTTTACTGTTTTCTATGTATTATACATATTAAGGACGTTGAGTCGATCGTGTCGATGTTAGTGCCTCCTAAGTCTCGTTAGTCATAGGAACCTCGACCACTGTTTAAGGGAACTCTTTGATCATTTTACCGAAACGACATGTAATTTCGAGAGGTGAATTTTTGGGAATATTGCCTTCCAAGTGCTTGGATATTCGTAGAATCTTGTATAGCCTAATACAAGATTTTTACTGAATTTCAATATATTGTCATTCAGCGCTTCGTTTGTTTTATTCGTCGTAGTAGCGATTTTTATAGTTACAAAGAAATAAAATTCCCTCTCGAAACCCGTAGGTTAAGCTATTGTGTGTGACTAAATAACGTTTTTCTACAGAATCAACTGTCATTTTTGTTATAATTTTAATTTTATTGGACATAAGCGTCTCGTATAAGTTGATCCTCCTCAAGTGATACAGTGAAGTGTATTTGTACTTCATTCTTAGCATTCTTAAAGAACAATGTTAGTTCGACGCAAGGCCTTTTTTATCTAGTTAAGGAGCTAAGGTGGTTTATTTGGTGGATAATAGTGTTACGATGGATTGATACGATATAAATAAAAATAGTAATACGTATCGGCCGCAATATGGTTATTAAGTAGCTTTTAAACTTAGACCGATTTGTTTTGGAAATGTTTCTTAGTTTACCGTCGACATATCAGCATAGCGATATAGCACCCGGTACACGACATTACGGACGATAAGAAGAACAAATTGTGCAATATGTTTTGCTCGAATCATTTATTTGTCTTCCTAAGTATTTTGTATTTTTTACAAAGGCCTATTTATATTGTCTCTGTATAATCGATTAATGCATTTTATTTTTCCAATAGTTATAGTATGTATGTTAATTACATAGAGAAATTTATATGGTTTCAATGAAATGTTCATTTTTTTTGATTTTGTTGGGACGAACGCAGAACTGTTGGAATGCGCATCGTGTAGCCACACGTTCACACGTATAGAGTGAGCGAGATAGATGCCACGTTTTATTAACTGGTTATTTTTTATTTTGCTTTATTTCTCGTCATGTCGATTTCAACAGTTTGTGACGTACAATTTGATTCGGATTTAGATTAACTGTAAAATTATTTAAATGATTTTAAATTGAATAATACAATTGTTCCGTCGAATTTTATTTCATTGACATACTCAATCGCATTTTTTTTTAATTTTCGGCTAATCGTATTAAGTTGACTGCCTTCCATTTATTATGCTCAATAGATAGGTATGTCTGGTACGATGCGGTACAGACGTGACATTAGATTATTTTTGTTTTATCCGTATATTATATAAGGTATTTAGTCAATTATTGTAAAGCTTTCTTATGTTACGAGAATTTTGTCTGGGAGTCACCTCATATTAACCGTTTCTTGTAAACTGCTAGTGAGTGATGTACCGATTTTCGTGAAACTATTACAGCGTTGTAAGTTCGAAGTGAATTGTGATAGCTTATGATTTGTTTCTCATTGACATTAACCTATTTGCTGTGAGGTTGTTGCGTGTGTCTTGTATTGTGGCAAATTTACGCACAAATACAAATATATATATTACAGGATTGTGTATACTAATTTTAACCTATTATATAATCACCTTCAATATCTACAGGGTGTTGTCACTAATTAACTAACGTGCGGGTTCGAGTCCCGCGGAGTCTATGTAGGGTAATATAATAAATTCAAATGCCTCACAGCCTCATAAGCTATCGGCTTGGCAATGATCAGTATTAAATCATTTCATCGAGTCTCTCATCCAACTGCCAAGTACATTTAATTATAAGAATAATTTGCTATATCCCAAGGTTTATGTATAGCGGACCCTAGTTACTATATTAGCTTTCGTTGAATGCTGCATTTCTCTTTATATCTAGTTTATTTGTGAAACATTGTGTTCTCATTTTGTATCTAAAAGCTGAAGTTTCAGATGTGGAAACTCGGAGCGATAATGTGAATACTATACAATTTAAATAAATGAATTATATAAATATGGGCAATTGTTTCATTTTTTATGAATAAACACAAAATATTTATTTATACACACACTCACTTGTGAAATTTTTACTGTAGGTACATTGGTAGAAGCGAGAAAAACACACGAAATTATAAATTGGTAAAGATAGCTCTAGTCAATATTTCTAAGCAATTTTTTTTAGGTACCTCGAAGTGAGTTTATTTAGACAACTGCTTTCCTCATATAGTGGAAGGAATGTACTGCTGGTCTAGTCCCATGTCGGGGTCTAATGAAGTTATTGAAATTTTCTCTCAATTATTATTATTCAGGCATTTTTGTCTTTAACACGTTTTTAACGTTTTATTATCTAAAAAGAAACGTTCATTGCAATGATAATTATCGAACTCAACTAAACAATGCAATTTATTTTCGGTTAAGTCCATCAAAGTTACAAGCAATCTCTCTCCAGTAGTTTTTCAAGAAATGTTTTTTTTTATATGTAATGGCTTATAGTTGCGTTAACAGACGCAATCCATTCTGCCAGTGTCACGTTTTGTGAGGAAGACACGAATGAGATTGAGCGGTAATTTTGAAATTTGGTAACTTTTTTGTGGAATTAAAACTATAAATGAATGATCGGTATACAAGAGTTATTTTTTTAAAACATCGGCTCTTTTCTGACGTCTTACTTCATTCATCAAAGAACGGTTTTGCCCACGTTCCTTACGGCCAGTTAACGTGCGTCTTCGTGGTGGCATTTTGATGAAACAATTATTGATATCATTAAAATTTCCGACATTTTTTCATCAAGTTATGCTCCAATAATACTATAAAAGTATTTTTTAGTTTTCTTACAGATGGCATTAAAATTACTCTAAAAGGTATTTTTTAGTTTACTTACAGATGGCGTTAGTAGTAAATACAATAAAAATCTAATTAATGAAAATTGTTATACCTTCTATTTTTTTTTAAATGTGAATAGAAAATACTATGTAAAAACCCAAACCTGAAAGTATGATAGTTTCTCAGTAAAGTGTACCTACCACAAAAATGCATAGATTGTGGGATAGTGTAATTTGGTAATTTTTTGGAATATAATATTTAAACATTTATTATTATCGATACAGAGGCCGAATCTATAGTTTTTAAAAATTTTGTCTGTCTATCTGTCTGGGAACACATCATGATTAAACCAGTAGACAAATTTTAACGATATTTGGTATGACGGTAGCTGGTTATCCAAGTCAACATATAGGATATTTTTCACTACGGGAAAATATCTTATCTCTAAGAAATCTATACTAACCGTTAAAACGTATCTAGGGACGAACCCGAGCGAAGCGAGGGTGAGTTGCTAGCATACATATAAAAGGCTCTGTCCTGACTGACTGATGGATCAACGCCCAGCCTAAACCGTTGGTAGTGAAAACGTGATTTTTTTAAGAACGTATTCTTTATATGATTTAAGCATCAGATAAGAAACGATTTTCCGAAATTCATCCCCTAAAGGGGGTAAAATAGGAGATGAAAGTTCGTATGAAACTCGGTCATTAGGTATTAATGTGCAATGCACGAGAAGTAGTATTTAGCTTCAAAATAAAAAACAATCAAATAAGTACATAATATATCAGACTTTTTGGAAATTTATCCATTAAAGGGTTAAAAGAATGTGCTAAAGTTTATATGGACAAACATTTATTTAAGATCAGAATTATTGAAACTATGTATTACTCTTCAATACAATTATTAAATATGTGTTTTAGTATTTTTTTAAATTCATCCCACAAGGGTGTAAAGTAGGGGGTGAAAGTTTGTATGAAACAAAGTATTATAACCTTTAAAATAAGAAATAAATAATACGTATTTATATATATTTGATTTTTTTTAATTCGCCCCTTAAAAGCGTAAAAGGGGGTTGTAATGGGATACCTAACTGTATAATACCTGGTTTTTTTTTATGATCAGAATTACTTGAAACTTGGTATTAATGATCTTCAAATCAATTACGTAAACAAGTATTTTATCATTTTTTTTTAATTCATTCCGTAAGAGGGTAAAAAAGGGTATGAACATTTGTAATTTATTTGTATAAAACTCTGTCATTTTTAAGGCAAATACCCACACTAAAAGGAGTATTTAGCTTTAAAATAAATAACTAAACATACGTATGTAATAAGTGTACTAGATTTTTCGAAATTTATTCCTTAAAGGAATAAAAGGGGATGGTAATGTTTATATCGGAAAAAAATCCATAGAATGATCTCGTGTCTGCCACGACCTTAGAGTAGGTACATTGTAATTCCCAGGGGAGAAGCCAACTCCTACCGGGCGCGTCCCCAGGTGGCGGATAGGGGCATGTCACCCGCTTAGAGGGGCGGGTGGTACCGGAGAAATCCGGCGCGGACCAAATGGCTTGGATGGGGCCGCTCGTCTAGGCCTCGAGTCGAAGACGTTGCGGCCACCGGTGGTGGGACCG